AATATCGGAGGTACAACACCTCACCAGGAGTGGAACATGGAGGCATGTGGCAGGAACAGAGAATCCCGCAGATGCACTATCTCGCGGCATTTCACCTGTTGATCTACAGGCTAACGCGTTATGGTAGCATGGACCGGATTGGTTGAGGAAAGATAAACAGATGTGGCCTGAAACGCAAGAAGTTGTACTGGATAAACTGGCTCTCGACGAAGGATCCATTGTGGCAGCAGTTTCTACAATTACTCCGCCGAGCGAGATCTTTGGGATGTACTCTACATTGCATCATGTGGAAAAGCTGGTTGCATGGTTGCTCAGATTCAAGTACAACGCACTGCAGGCTCGTAGATCAATATCCAAGAAGACGGGTCCACTGACGCTTGCGGAACGAGAAGGCGCTTTGTTGCATCTAGTGAAGCTATCACAACAGGAATGCTTTGCTCAGGAAATCGCAGATCTCGAAAGGAATGGGGAGGTTAAGCCAACTTCTCGCATCAATGCATTAAACCCGATGCTGGTCGAAGGTGTACTCCGAGTTGGCGGCCGGTTGGAGAATGCACAAATCTCGCATAGCCGGAAGCATCCTATGTTATTGAATAAAGATCATCCGCTAACATCCATGATCATGCGTCGATACCACTACGAAAATCTTCACGCTGGTCCTCAACTGTTGATAGCAAGTGTTCGTGAACGATTTTGGCCACTCAGTGCTCGAAGTCTTGCTCGGAAGATTGTGCATAGATGTATAACCTGCTTCAGGAACAAACCAACCGTGCAGTATCAACTGATGGCTGATCTCCCGGCTGAACGGGTAACACCAGCTCCGCCATTTCTACGGGTCGGTGTAGACTAGTGCGGTCCTTTTTTGATAAACTATCCCTTCCGGAAAAGGACCACCGTCAAGTACTACGTTGCTATCTTCGTTTGCTTGGTGACTAAGGCGGTACACATGGAAATGGTAGCTGATCTCACCACGCAAGGATTTTTGGCTGCATTGAAAAGGTTCGCGGCTAGGCGAGGAAAGCCCAGCTTGATCATGTGCGATAACGGTTCCAATTTCGTGTGTGCAAAACGGGAGTTAAATGAGCTCGCCGTACTATTTGAAGACCAACAATCCCAGCAATCCATAGCTGCACGCGCTGCTGACATCGGAATTGAATTTAAGTTCATTCCAGCCAAATCCCCAAACTTTGGCGGCTTGTGGGAGGCTGCAGTTAAATCAATGAAGCAGCACCTGAGGAAGACCATTGGATTGAAGATTGTTACGCCTGATGAACTACACACTGTCCTAGCACAAATCAAAGCGTGTCTGAACTCCAGGCCACTCACACAGATCAGCAGTGACCCAAACGATCTCAGCGTATTGACTCCAGGTCACTTTCTTATCCAGCGACCGCTAACGGCTGTCGAAGAACCGTGGCTGCAGGATATTCATCAAGATCGTCTCTCTAGGTGGCAGCAGGCTCAAGACTTCGTTCAACGCATTTGGTCCAGATGGTCGATGCTATATTTGTCTGACCTGCACAACAGGACTAAGTGGACCAGGCACAGGAATAACCTGTTTGTAGGGACAACGGTTCTTATCAAGGAGGATAATCTACCACCCCTGAAGTGGCTTTTGGGAAGGGTAACGCATATCTACCCGGGAGCAGACGGAAACATCAGGGTCGTAGCCATTAAGACGAACGATGGAAGTTTCGTTCGGGCAATCTCCAAAATCTGCATATTGCCCATCAGCGATAACGACCCACCACCAACACTTGGGGAGCACTAGACCTTCCCTCATCAAAGGCGCTGGAGTGCCAGTGGGAGCCATCCGGCTCCCGCATACCAGTTAAGTGTTTATGTTTTGCAAAATTTTAAAAATCTTATGGAATGTTTGTCTTCATAGCCGCTGATCGCCGAAGGCCACTGGCTTTCCTGCGAAATCATCCACGAAATCTGCGTCTTGCTAGGCAACGTCAACCGCTCACCTCGATTACTCAGATACACTTGCTGAATTCCAATACCCGGTTCGATTCCTTGATTGTGGCCAAATCATGGAATCCGGCACGATTTCGTGCCTGTGTACGTTCATCATCAACGGTACAGCAAGCCACCTGCAGCAATCCAGGGTAAAAGCCACTGCACGATCATCCAGTAAAGACCAGCCACCACAATCTACCATCCATGAAGTTCACCCAGCATTCGAGTTAAGAATCACTACAACAGTTAGCTCCAAGGAACTTGCAACTATCCAATCGGACACGTTCAACCTGGTGAATTCATCATCATCAGCGCAGGAGCGCTCGCGGAGGCGCGCAAGCCTCCGCGATAGGGAAGTCGTTTAAATCTTGATTTTGACTTGTAAAAATTCGCCCTTCATCTTTTTCAGTCGCTCACCTCAATTACGGCGCTCTGACGGAGTGCGCAGCCGAAGGAGAATCCGCGTTTAGAGGTCCGCTACAAACGATCTACGAGACGATGTCGGTATGAAGCCAGCCGGTACGAGTCAGATGCTAACCGATTGACGACTTCAATCAACACCGAGTGGTTGGACACCATCGGTACCGCCTGCAGAAGTGTTCCGTACACACCATATCACCGATTATATCCAGAGCACCAGCCCCGTTGTTATGTACACTTGTGATAATCATTGTGTTTCTAAATGTTTATTAATGATTCGTAGTAGATAGTTAAAATCAAGCTAATATTAGATAATTTAGATAGTCTAATTGAAATTCCGCATATTTCAAGGCGGCCGGTTATGTAAAGAGAGAACTCACTCTCACTCTCGCAGCATCCAGCAGATCGAAATTATAATCTAAAGAGCAATCGATAGGAATGATACTGGCGATCAGTAACGATAAAATCAGTTCATAATACAATATGCTTCTGATCAGTTGTGTTCCCCTCAAACCAGTGCTATTTCACCAGTGACTAGATCGAAGAAGAAACATCTACTTCAAAAGCTTTGGACTTGTGGAGCGTTTCCAGCTCACATGCATAAAGATACTAGTTTTGATTGCCATATTACATTCTGCATTAAAAATGACAACTTTTTTAGACTGTGCTTTTAAAAAGGCGTATCAAGCAAAACTGATTATTTTTCTTAACAAAATTTTAATTTTAAAACGGCTAATTTGATCAAAACAACGTCTTAGAAGAAGTTGTAGGGGCTTAAACGACCTTTAAGAACAAAAAATGCACTGAGAGAAAATTTCACAGTAAATCCATGTTAAAAAAAATTAAATAAAAAATTGTAATTCTTAATGCACATGCTCTTCGATTATGCTAACATTTTATTGTGTGAATAATCTTGAAACTATGTCCTTAAATTTGGTGGAAAGTACAGATGGTAAAATACTTAAACATATTTTTTAATTTTTTTTTATCAAATTTTGAAACAGATTTTAATTGCACATTCTTTAGTAAAATAATACCAAAAATGGATTAAATGCAACAATTTCAATAGATTAGTTTATGGCACTTCTTTCCCTAATCCAAACATCATCAAGTTATTGCAAATTTTAAATGCAGAAAATTATGTTCTACGTTATTTGAAACCATTTTCGAATGTTAGCCATGATGTCCATCTACAAACCGCATTTTACCTAATTGGAAACTAAATAACAAACATGGGACAGACAAAGTCAGACATGAGCAGTTCCACGCCAAATGACGACTAGGAAAAACTTGACCTTCTCCGATACTTTTTGAGATGTTTCAGTTTGTAACACTATTTTTTTTTCATTTTCACTCAAAAAATAAAAAACTAACACGCCTATTTTTTTCCTAGAAAGACTTTGAATTTCTAAACTTCTTTGCTTTAGACGTCATTAAGAGCAGAAATGACCTTTTCGTGCTGCATTTTTTTTTAAATGTTAAAGACGCGATTTTGATATAAAAATTACATGCGAAAAATTGCCAAAATTTGAATGATTGCCCATAACTCACAGTTATGCAAAGTCCCTCGCAAATCGGAGAAGGTCGTGTCTATTTTTTATCCTATTCTGCCTGTATCTCCTCTCATGGTATTCCAAGGTACAAATCAACTTTCTCAATTTAAGAACCTCTATGGGTTTCAGCTCCCCCTTCAGTCCAGCTCTGCTGGATTCTGAGGATTTCAATCAATTAAAACAATAATTTTCAACTAATTACAAGATGTCCTTTATTACTCCATTAAGGCAAAATACCTCTGCAAACCTAAAAGTTTACTAGAGTTGTGCTCTGATACCACAATTGATCAATTTCTTGTAGCAGTGGATTTATGGTCTAAACTGAACAGAGCCAACAATCCCTGTTGCTGACATTTTGTAGAGGCCCATATGTGTTTGAATGGGTGCAATATCCTACGCAGGTGTGGAAGCTGCCTTCCTGCACATTCGATTGTCGTCAATGGATGGCAATCGATGTCCGTCGGTGATTGGCACTAGATTGCGGAACAGAGACCGACGTTAAAAAAAGGAAAGAAGACATTTTATGGATAGAGGTCGGGCCCTTCTCCCCATATATTGAGACGTTCTTCCACACGATGGTTTCATTTGGTTTCTGGTTGTATGAACGTACTTCTCTATCACTCCTGCGGGTTCCACGTAGCTGTCTCTGCTTACGGGTCCGTTCCACCGTTTTTTACCCTGGATACAGGAGTATGATGAGTATGATAATAAATCAAATCTTGATCAAGTCATGTAGTAGGAACAGTCCATTGCCATGTGCAGGTGTCTTCCTACAATAGGTGGTAGCATGAACTTAACAGAGCTAAAAAGGCCGTGATTACCTCTCACCCCAGCAGGCCTGGGTTCAATCCCAGCCGGTGCCGCCGGGATGTTCTGAGGCATAACATCTCTGATCAGGGCTTCATTCGGAAGGGAAGTAAAGCCGTTGGTCCCCGGTTCATGAGTTGATGGGTCGATGGGTAGGGTCCAGGTGTGGGAGCTGCCTCCGTGGCGTTGGTAGCATTGGTGCTCAGCACGGAGAGCAAGAAATCGACGGAAAACAAATCAAGGAAAAAAAAAATCTCGTATTGTGTCATGGTTGCACCTGAGCTCAGAAACTAATTGAAACCCATTGCCGACAGGACAAATTAAAATCATCCCGACGAATGCATCAGCAGGAACTGTTTAATTAATGTTTAATTTTATGATCAACAAGACCTGCAGTGCAAAACAGCACGAAGCAATCAGGGGTTTCATTTTGACCTAGCAGGAGTTAAGTAATCACATAAACCGGGAAAAAGCTTGTAGAAATCAAGCTTTGAACAAATCCTCCGATTCCAGCTAAACTCCGTAAAAGCATCACTTTTGTTCTTTTCTTAATTGTCACTTTCATCCCGTACAGCGAACAGCAGTTCCACCCACAACGGACAGGTATTAGAGAGGTGTTGAATAGTAGAAAAAGTTCTCATTTCAATTACACTACATCTAGTTTTGCTGAAGATCTCACTGCTGACTAATATTTCAGTTGATTTTACCCCTTTATGATTATTTACTATGCTATTTTATTCACAAGTACAACCCACATACAACCCCCACTGACTGCATGTCGGTCGTTGGATGATGCAAGGGAAATGGGGTGACGATGACGACGACGGTGAGGAAGTTCTAGGATATCCCTTGGAATGGGATTAACGTCGCTGCTAGCGTGGGGATCATCTTTTTTGCAGCAACGTTGGTGCCGCGCGCAAGCTTTGAGAGCTGATTTCTGTGCTGCTTCTGCTGCTGATGGACAGTGATCGGATTTTGAGACTACTGCTGCTGCTGCTGGTGTTCGTGCAACTACCGTCACTGGAGGGCATAAAACGACAACGACGACGGATACAAATTAGAAGACTGACTGCCGTTGATGCCAGCACGAAACGACGTCGACGTTGCCTTTCCGTGCCGAGTAGGGTTGATATGAAGGAGATTAATTTACTTAAATTACAACTATTTAGGGTTGCAAGTATAAAAACTAGCACGTAACGTGACGGACAGAGCACCACTCCGCTGCTTGTCTGCATTGCAGCTGGATGTTCACCTGCAAAGTGAAAAAAAAAACGCTAAATCAGATGATGATGGTAGTGCCGCAGGTTAATTAGAGATGGTTTGAGCGTGTTCAGCGTTTCCGGGTGAAATGGAAATGATTTGCTTGTGTTTTGTTTCAGTGGGGTGTTGAATTTTACTTACCATTCAGAACGTGAACCTGTACACTGGCTGAGATGGCCCCCGAGGGAACGCAGGTGTAGTTGCCGGAGTCTCGCAGGGTAGCTCGCGTCAGCATCAGCCGGCTGCTGGTGCCACCCTCGGTTTTCTCCGTTTCCAGGCTGATGCCTCCGCGGGCCGAATCGAAGTCGACCACCGAAGAACCGTGGTACCTGTGGGATGAGCAAGGATGATTAAGATGATTTGGTTGAGAGAAATTCCAATCGTATTGCGTTACTACGGTAAATGTATTATGTTTTGCTCCCAATTCAGAGATTTATCTATTATAGTGTGTTTGCATTCTAAATTCAACAAAATTCTTAATTTCTTTTGTAATAGGGGAATTTACGTATTCTCGGCAACCTAAGCAGCGACGTTCTTTCTATAGCCTTTTTCCCAAAGGAACGCACACATATGCAGTATTGGTTTGTTTACAATCTTTTGCTGCCAGCTGCTCTAACAATTTCAGTCGAAAGAATTGTCAAAAACTGTTTTGAAACGCTTTAACAAAGCTCCAATCTTCTCTAGTGAGAGCGAGTATTGTCGGCAACCAGTTTTTCTTCGGCAACCGTTCCATTTGAACTGCATGTAAATCTGCTGTTCTATTATCGGCAACTCGAAATCAGCTACAATTTGTAGTGCGTGTGTTGCATTTCAAGAAAACCTTGCTAGATTGCTTTTTCTCAGTGGTAAAAATATAGTCAAATTGAAGCTGAAAGCATAAAGAATCGTTTGCATGCATTCAGCGAAGTGTTTTCCAGTTTTACAGTGAAAATAGTGTTTCAATTTGGGTTGCCGAAAATAGTCTGTCATGCCGAAGCCGTCATTTCCCCTAATACTTAGATAAATAGTGATTCTTGCTATCGGTAATTTGTTCCTTATTGATTAAATTATTTTTAACGAACTAATCAAGTTGTGTCCATATTGGGCGTCCTAAGCTTTCGAATAAAATTAAGTGTTTTGTTGTAGGTAATTGAAGTTTTTAACAGTTTATTGTTTATTTCTTGACGATATTTTGTATTTTTTTCAACGTGTCTTGTTTTCTGTACAACACAATATAGTCCCCTACAACTTTGTGTCAAATGTCATTTCGATTAGATGAGCCGTTTTCATTCTATGCTTTATTGTAAAATATCCAGTACGTTATTTTGAACCATTTTGAATTCACTGGTGCAATTTTACATATTTATGATGACTCCAAATTTTCTTTATCGACCATTTCAACTTAAATATTGGCACATCTGCTTGTTTTTGATGGGTGACGTATTGATTTTTCAGTGAGCATTTCATTTATGCTATTGGTGCAAAACAAATGAACTGCCATTAGGAAACAAGATGTCGGTATTGGAATATTTTTCAAGATCTCTGGTCCAAATGATAAAACAAATCAAATTATAAATCTAGGTCTTTGAAAATCTTCAAGCTTCTTAGACATACGGACAATGTTTCCTGATTCCAGCGCTTTGAAGAATAAGATTTTTATGCGAATTCCAAAACAATTTTGAGAAGAGTGTAAAACGTACTAGGGAGAGTTCCACGAGATTTCTGAGATGAATTCATATGGAGCAGTTTCAGGCCAAATATATATAAAAAACTAATCAATGTTTGACTCAAACTGCTTAGATTTGCAAGGAACATTGTTGCATGGGTAATCATTTATATTTTTGCACAAATTCGGTAATTTTGAATCATGCAATTTTTTTCAACATGAAGCATTCAAATTTTTCACTAAATCGGGGTGGGAAAACATCACCTCTTATCTAAATGACGTCTGAGACAAAGTTGTAGCGAAAAAAAGTCTTTCTGTGAAAAATATTCTCGGGCACAATTTCTTAATTATTTTCAGAAAATAATTCCAAACAAACTTTCAATTGATAACTTTTAAATCACTTAGTCGATTTCAAAGATCAACATATCAAATGAAAGGTAATTGAAATTTTTTTTTTTTAATATACTGATATCAAAAACTTGGATTTTGTATTAACAATCATTAATTGTATTTGCTTCTTTATGATTTTTATGGTTTGTAGAGGGCGCAATATGTTTTTTTATAATTTTTAATTTAAAATTTAACACCGTATACCAAGCAATCAGCGTCTTATTGCTTTTGAGTTATATTTTTTAAAAGTAATCAAGTTTTGGGTTTTCACTCAATACTCTTATGCGAATAGACTACCATGCATCTCCATTGATACATACGTATAAATTAAAAAATGGACTAATTTCGGATGGCGATGGTAATGCAATGGAACACATTTTCCTTAAATCCTTAAATCCTTCGACTACAAAAATGCTTCGACGCACTGCCGGGCGGCCTAACGGCAGTTGACCGAAACCTTAGCCATGGCCGATGAAAAGATGGACGTCGGCATGTTCTTCAGCTCTTTCGAGGCCTTGGCGATCAGCTGCACCTCCGTTTTGGCCACGAAATTATTGGAATAGAGCCTATCGGTTGCAGCTGGGGGACGTTGGGATGGTTGGCAGTCTTCCACAACCACGACGTCGCGCTTCACCGGAAAGATGTTTTTCACCTTCAGCCGCTCCTTCTGGATGATTGGATGCTGCTCAGGCACGGCCGGCCTCGACTGACGCTTGCGCAGAACAATGTCCATCTTGTCCAGGTACTTCTTCACCGTTTGGCCGGTTTCTCCGACCTCCCGGTCCAAGGCGCTGAACGATGAGGCCACCTTGCCCACGGTCTTCCTCTTCAGCTTCTGCTGCATTTTACGGTAGCGCAGGATTCCGTTCGACGCTCTCGCCTTTGTCCAGAAGGGAGAGTATATTGTAAATGCCGGATCGGCTATATCCGGCAGACACGAAGTGCCTCACGATGTCCAACTTCTTCGCTCCGGGGTGGAGCTGGCAGTACGAACGTAGTTCGAGCGTAGTTGCCATGACTGCTGCAAATCAGCTGATCACGCTGTCAATTTTTTAACATGGTTGCTATGATTAGCGATGCATACGTTAGCTATGGTGGTGAATCCACCTACCAGGTGACAGGGTCATCGCATGAAAAATCGCTAAAATCAGTCCATGTTTTAATGCATACGTAATGCATACCTGCCTATTTGATTTGATTTATATTTATTTGAGCGAAAACTAAAAGTTGATAACTGCAAAATAATATAACTCAAAAACGAAAAATAAACACTTGGCTGATTGTTGTACAAAAAAGCCTTAATTTTCGAGGAAAAATATAAAAAAAAAACATATTGCGCTCTCTGCTCACAAACCATGAAAACCACAAAAATCAAAAACAATCAATGTTTTTCAATACAAAATCAAAAAAATTAATATCAGTATATTTTGCCTAAACAGTTTAATTAAGTTATGAATTTTTGAAAGCGTAATTTTAGATAAAACCCTATTTTTATGACTACCCTAACATGGAAATCGTCACCCTGATGAAAAAATAAAAACGGGTCTAATATTTTGCTATTAGGAACAAAACAGCCATTTTTTACGAAATTCCGAAAACCACTATATCGTTTTGCTATCGAATGGTTGAATTATGAAAAGTGGTGTGAGTGGAATTAGTAAATAATGGTGCTAGAGAATTTCAAGGGGATTTTAGAAGAATCCTATGTAAATTCTGATGATAATCAGAATGATTTCAAAAGAATTCTGAGGAGAACTAAAATAAAGGGAAAAATAAGAAGATTTCCAAGCAATCTATGCGAAGAATTTCAACGGCATCGTTTTCTGAGGATGGCATAAAAATTATGTTGGGGAACATTCCAATGTAATCGAGTAATATTCCGCGTGTATTCTGTTGTTTTCGGCATTAGATTGTTGAGGATAATTTCAATAGAGCTTTGATTTGATAATTTTGAGGATGTATGAAGTTTCTAAGTCCGTTATCTAGGTCGCTGTTGAAATTGAAAATGTTTGTTTCATTACTAAATGGGTCATGCTTCAATATTTTTCTTAGACTTTCAACTCTACGAGTATTTATAGGATAATTCCAAGTGAATTCTGTGAAGGATTCTGAGGATATTTACAATAACATTTTGAGGTGAATTTCAGGAGATTTCATACAATAATTTTGAAGCGAATGCAAAGGGATCAACACATTTCAGAGGGGAATTCCAAGAGAATTAAGACGAGAATTTCATGAGAATTCAGAATCCCGCGAGCAATTTAGGAAGAATTTTAAGTGGATTCTGAGAAAAATTGTGAGGAGAGCTCCATGAGACTTCTGGGGATATTTTAGATAGTATTTTGAGGTAATTTTCAGGAGAATGGTTAGAAGAAATTAAGAAAATTTTGAAGCGAATGCAATTTTGTGGAGAATCCTAGATGAACTATGTCATTTGCTTGAGTTCTACAGTCCACAAATCCTTTTTAATATTTTTTGGAATTTTCGGAGATTAACAAGATATTTCAAAGGTGAATTCCAAAAGAATTCTGAGGCGATGAACATTCAGAATTCCAAGTGAATTCTGTGAAGAATTCTGAGGATATTTACGATATCATTTTGAGGTAAATGTCAGGAATTTTTTTAGAATAACTTCAAGAAAAATTTGAAGTGAATGCAAACGGAATTTTGAGGAGAATCCTACATGAAAAATGTCATTTGCTTGATGTTTTGCAGTCTTCAAACCCTTTGTAATATTTTTCTTAGACTTTCCGGAGACTAAAAAGATATTTCAGAGGAGAATTCTGAGGCGATTTTGAAAATTCAGAATTCGACGAGTATATTTAGGAGAATTCCAAGGGAAATCTGTGAAGAACTCCATGAAATTTCTGAGAATATTTTCGTTAGCATTTTGAGGTGATTTTCAGGAGAGTTCTGAGAAGAATTTCAAGAGCATTCTGAAGAGAATGTAAAGGAAATTTGGTGGAGAATTCTAGATGAAGTATGACATTTGCTTGAGTTCTGCAGTCCTCAAACCATTTTTAATATTTTTAGTCTTTCCGGAGATTAACAAGTTATTTCAGAGGAGAACTCCAAGGGAATTCTTAGGCGATTGACATGAAAATTTATAATTTCACGAGTATTTTTAAGGAGAATTCCATGTGAATCCTGTGAAGAATTCTGTGGAGATCTCCATGAAACTTCTGAGGATAGTTTCGATAGCATTTTGAGGTGAATTTCAGGAGAATGCTGAGAAGAATTTCAAGAGAATTTAATGGGAATTTGGTGGCGGATTGTAGATGATGCATGTCAGTTCTGCAGTCCTCAAACCATTTTTAATATTTTTTGGTTTTCCGGACACGATCAAGATATTTTAGAGGAGAATTCCAAGAGAATTCTAAGCGGAATTAAAAAAAAATCAGAATTATTTTTGAAAAATTCTGTGGAAAACTCCATGAGATTTATGATGATATTTTTGATATTATTTTGAATAGAATCCGTCATCTAAGATCGCTGTAAAAATTGAATTTTATTTTCATTTCTATAATAGTTGATGTTTTTCTTTGACTTTCCGGAGATTATCAAGACATTTCAGAGGAGAACTCTAAGAGAATTCTTAGAAGATTTTTTAAAGAACTAATAATTCCATGAGTATTTTTAGGAGAATTCCAAGTGCAGAGCTCCATGAGATTTCTGATGATGTTTTCGAGAATTTCAGGAGAATTCTGAGAAGAATTACAAGCGAGTTCTGGAGAGAATTCCAAGGGAATTTCGAGGTGAATGCTAGGTGAAGTATGTCATTTGCTTGTGCTTAAATACCTCAAACCCTTCTTAATAAATTTGTTAGACTTTCCAGAAAATTGATGCTTTGAACATTACCAGATTTATTATCCGTGACGTTATTAAACGTCTTAACTTATCTTGCAATAAGTAACCCTTCGTCTGTTCCTTGGGGTCAATTTGACCCCAAGCCACTTTGAAAGGCAGTACCTTACCTTTTATTTGTAGATGGATTTTACTTATTCTTTCGTGACTAGGTGCGTCCACCGGAGCTCTGTAGATGAGATGAAATCTGCTCCAAAAACATTGAAATCATAAATCCTCGAGTCGAGTATTAGTACAAGACACTGCTCATTGTAGACGAAATACGCGTATCTGATATTTCGCGTATCAAATAAGTGAAGACAACAAATCAAGAAGACCGGCAACTCTTCCATTTTCTCATACAAACGCTATGAGACAGGTACAATTGCGTCATCTGCCGCTCAAAGGTAAATGCTTCGAACGAATTTGATAGCAAAGATTACTTCCTCAGAAGAAGGGTTTGTGTATTTGCTCATTTTTCTATGCGTTGCTTCCACCTTCACTCAAGTGCAGCGCTACTGTATCTGTCGCTTGGATTCTGGCAAAGTTGCAGTTTTCTTGATTTGTTGTCTTCGAAATAAGGTAGTGGAATTAAATGGAAATTTCTAATCCTTCTCTCGCTCTCTTTATTGAAATCGCATTTATTGGGAAATTTTTTATTGAAATACTTCAATTTTACCCCTAATTCAAAATGCCGTATCTTAACGAAACTTCAAAGGATTTCTGCTCAAACCTTTGTAGGGGTAAAAGGTGGGACCATCATCATCATCATCACCATCATCATAATCATCATCATCATCATCATCATCATCATCATCATCATCATCATCATCATCATCATCATCATCATCATCTAAAATTTCAAATAATTTGCAAAGTATATTTCGTTGAATTTCTGTTTAAATTATCAGACTTTGTTTGGAGGAGTGGATCCCTCGGAGAGAGGGGTCATTGTTAAACTATACCCATGAAGTGGCATATTTTGAAGTTGAAGATGTGTATATCTCGAGATCCCAACCAATTAGGATGTTGCTTTCTTCTGCAAAGATATTCAAGAATACAAGGTATTCAAAACTATCGATAGTGTATGATAGAATTTACTTTCTAAATGACGCTAAAACTATATCTACAGATCCTGCTCTTATGGATGGTTCCCGTCTTTAGAAAAAATCTTCAGATAGACAGGACCTAACTTAAGAAAGAGAGTTTAGTTCAGAATTCACTCATCGGGCATTTATTGTTTGTCCTAGCTTAACATCTTGACTAGGAAGAAAGTTCCCGTTTTCGGAAAAGTTGTTCAGATGGGCAAGACCTATTTTATGGTAAAGAGCGGGCTAGTGTGACATTCATGTTTCATTGATTGCCCTAACCTAGCATATGTTTCCATCTTCAGTAAGTTGTTCAGATGGACAGAACATATCCTAAGGTAAAGAGTTTAGTTCAGTGTTTTAAAGATGTACTCAAACAATTCTATGTGAATCATCTTAGTTTAGAATTCACTCCTCAGAGATCGATGAAGCTTAATTTTGTTTATAAGTTTTGCTTTCTTTGACATTTTAAATAATTACAATATCGCTCTCTGTAGAAATCTTAGTCAGAAATTAATAATCCATCAGTTGTCCATTTGAGCAACTGTACCGAAGATGGAAATCTTCTATCTAGTTCATTTGTTGAGTTGGGGCAAACAATTCAAAATTAATGTCACATTAGCGCCACATTGTGAGTGAATTCTGAACCAAATACTTTACCTTAGCATAAGTCTTGTCCATCTGAACAACTTTAACGAAGACGGAAAGTCCATATGAATTAATGAAAACAATAATGTCACACTACCACAGCGCCACCTGGTGCGTTAATCATGAGCTGAGCTCATTACCATAATGTAGATCTTGTCCATCTGAACAACTTTGCCCAAGAAGGAAACCTTCTACCTAGTGAAGATTTTAAGTTAAGAGAAACAATCCAAAATGAATATCACACTAGCGCCACCTGGTGAGTGAATTCTGAACTAAACTCTTTTCCCTAGGATAGGTCCTGTCCATCTGAACAACTTTGCTCAAGACGGGAACCATCCAAAGGAGCATGATCTGTAGATAGCGTTATATAACGTGTAATTAAGATGGCGCAACTTGTGTAAGAAGAGAATTGAGTGTACTTGTAAGCTTCTTTTAACTATTTAATAGAAACTGTTCCAATACCTTCGTTCAAAAGCTCTAATTTTTCGCTTGCCCGGCGCTAAGCTCCTCTCACCAACAACGTCACAATAGTAAACATGAGCTGCTATGCAATTTGACTAATCTGATAACAAAATTAGCCTGTTAATCTCATCCCATTATTGACGAGGACAGCTAACCAATACTGTCACTAGGCCACTGTTTGCAATCACTCTTCCACAAAATCGTCTACCCAATCCAATATCGAGATTCGTGCTCATGCGAGCATACATACCACTTACCATGAAATGGATGACGCCAGCACGTTGACGACGCAGGACAGCGAGATGGTGCTGCCCTTCTTCACGTGCACCTCCTGCGAACCGGTAATCTTGGCCCGGGCTGCTGTCGAGAGAAAATCTATAAGTGACAAGTGGAGTTTGTTTTAATTATTAGCGAGATTTGTGCAGTGTTCAAAGGATGGACATTATTGGGAAATGACGGGACGGGAAACGATTGGACCAGAAATCTGCGCATCGTCGATTCAGAGCGAGTCATTTGCGAGGGCAAATGGAGAGCAATTTGTCAGCGTAGAAGAACGTGCATGTTCCGAGATCGTGTACCTAGTATCGACGATTTTCCGACCGACTGGGTGCGAAAATGGGTGCACGTCTGCCTTCAGAGAGCGTGTAAAATCAATTTGCAGTTCTTCCGGGCGGATAATGCGAATTTTCGCATAATTGATGGTGATCCTGCCAGAGTGGCTTTCTGAAGGCATGTGCACACTAATTTGCATTTTCCAATTTACAAGTTCCGCGTTGCAGCCGACGAGCGTGCGATAAAATTTCGACGGCTCGACGATGGTGACCATTGTTGTTTCGATTTTACGATAGGGGTGGGGGTGACGAGGACGGCTAGTACGAATTAGAAACTCAGACGCCGGACAAAGAGCTGATGCATTTGGATGGAATTGCGAATTTGCAACTAGCAATCAACGGCGAACGATCTATTGTGCTAGTCTTTTCAAAGTGAGCTCGCGAGAAATTTACGGAGGTTGATTGATACCGATGGAACGAACTCATTTACCGTTCATCGTGGATTATCGGCTGGTGGAAAATTAGCGGTGCATGTTGGCTGGAGGTTGAAACTGAAATTTCCATTTCTGGTGAGAAATGATGTCATACCAACTAGAAATCGTTTCGAGGAAACAATTCAACCATTATGAATGTCGCGTTCGATTGCTATGGCAACGATGATGATGATGAAACATGTTGCAATCCAGGGAAGTTTGGTGGCATTGGTTGTAATTGAGTTATAGCATGGGTTTGACAAAGTGTTTTGATTTTTGAGGAATATCAAATAGGGCATCATTTGGTACTATGGTTAAGGGTAAGTTCTGGTCTTCTAATGAAAATATGTTCAGTTCAGTTCGGGTTTTACATGGAAATTGGTATTGCTTCATATTTGGTTTGGCTTGACCTTAACTCACCCGGAACATCGCCGGTGCCTAGTAGCCACTGCAAATTTCAGAAAGAGGTGCCGATTACCGCTCTGTTATGTAAAATGGAAAGGTTCAATATCTAGCTCATGGCTTTTATCGGTCCAAGAACTGTTCATGTTTTTTAGAAGGAATCAATTCCATGAGAAGCAAAAAACTTTTGCTTCGCTATGCATTTATCTGTAAAAGAATTATTTTTCAAAGAAGTCAACTTCAAATATAATAGATATGACTGCAAGGTCATGAAATGATTATCAAACTACCGAGTCAGGCGGGAGCTGAACGTCGACTTAAAAAAAAACTGTCGAAGCAACAGCATTATTATGGTGAAACGTGAGCCAATTTACAACTTGTTATCCCAAGTAGCCATTGGCACTACATTTCACCTTTTTGGCTATATACAGCTGAGCAACGGCTATTTCAGTGTTTGTAAGATCTGATGAGGCCCGTTTAAAGCATTTCCATGCCAAATAGCAAAAAAGAAAAGAAAGAATTTCCGATTTGCAGGAAACATTGCGTAATTGTTTGTTATGGTCAATCATTCTCATTTGAGTTAAAATTGCGCCCTTTAGAATCGTGCAAACAACTGCGTATTGCATATTTTTCAACAAATCTTAACTCGAAAACGTCACTTCCAATTGAACTTACGTCCAAGCTAAAGTAGAAAAAAAAAAATATTTCAAGAAATTAAATCCAAAAAAGTGTAAAAACTTAAATGAATGTTATTATATTATTTGAATATTTTTCACTAAAAAGCTAATTAAAAAGTGCTAAGTGAAATTTTCATCTGCACACTAAAAAATAACAGAAATCATAGAGCAACTTTTTTTTTCTTCATATTAAATAGACCTGGCCATTCGCTTTCAAGTCGCTGTCTGCAGCGTTTTTGCCGCCGAAGAAGTGCGGTTTCTGTTCCGATGTTTTGATGATTTGCATTGCCGAAAAAGTGTGGTATCTGTTCTCTAACCAAGGGGTAAGTCACTCAGCACATTGTGCCGAAATTAGACTCGGCACAACTTGGGAACATCCATCGGCACACGTTCGGCACAATTTCATAGACATTGGATTGTTGTAAATAACATGGGAGCACTTCTGGACAACTGTCATTGAAGTGGTTCACAACATTACGTGCTGTTTGACTGTAAGTTCAGGAACATCCTCTAATTGAATATAACAAAGGAACTCATACCAGTAGTTCAATTATAGATCTTAATACGAAACATAGGTTCTAGAGTGGGCTCAAGAGAAAGAGGCAGTCAATCAGACCCCATTAGTACCCGTAATTCAAATAATGCTACAACTCACACAAAACAAACTACGGATGTCTATTCATCATCCTCTATAGTCGGTCTCCAACAATGTTCCCCATCGGTTCCAACTCTTTCCGGAAGCTGCTTTTTATATGACGAAAGGCTAGGTTTCTATTCTGCCTTTGATGGCATTATAAAACTCTAAAACACAGGATCTTTACTATCCTATGAACACAAAACACCAACATTTCGCACACTAGCCACTTTCCGCGTCATCTTCAATCCGATTTATCCTTGCTTTCAAACCAAAACATTCAAGGTGTCAGAAATACCGGGTTGCCGGGATGGGTAATTTACAAACAATCACAGCTTACTCTATGATCGGCACAATCGACACACTTGCGACACACTGACAACAATATGACCCAAGATTGATGTGCGAATTGACCTACCCCTTGTCTCTAATCCAAGTAACAATTCAAGCTGAACAGTAAGAACAGATCCTGATTTTTGGTTGATTCAACCTCAATAAATTAGCTGATCTAAAGATTGAACAAGCCTTATTTTAGCTTAACACTACTCCGCAAATCAGCAATGCACTACAATTTTTTTGATAGTTTGTTAAATGTAGGCATTTAAGTTCTTCTAAATTCACTGCCTACCTTTCTAATCCCAAGCAGCGGCAGCAGTAGAGAAAAGGTAGAGGAGTTTTTTTTAGGAATAAATAGCTCCAGGTAGATATGGCCTGCGATGGCGTCGGAAGTATTAACATTTGAATTTCTGTGTTCTGTGACTGCTATATAGCACTGAACTTTCAGAAAGAATTCCAAAAGTATAACTCAATTATGGCACTAAAATAGCTTCCACGTGACCATCGAAATAAATTGCGCACTTGTGTCCACATTGTGTTGACTACGCTTGAAAATGAGAGGAATGTTTTACTGTCACCAGTTGTTGTTTACAATTCTGCATTGCTGTACAATACTCTTCCGATTGCTGTTATTCAACTTAAATTTGACGTGTTTCAAGATCATACATTTTGCCACATATATGCTTAAGTGGTCCAGTAGGTATGATAGATGTTTGTGGATTAGCGACCGCCGGTTCGAATCCCGAAAAGCAAAGTTAATTTTTAGACTTATAATAGCAATATAAATATGTAAATTCAATTAGTCAGCACCTTGTAGTCCCATAAAAATATATAAGATATAAAGCGGTCTTCCACAACTTTTTTTTCTAAATAAAACTAGAAGGCTGAACAAGTGTTGGAGAATGTTTTATTTAATGCTTAAAAAGATTATAATTTATGGAACTGTTAAGCTTTTGGCTGATTAAAATCACTCGATTTAGATGTTTAAAAGCTGAACAAAGGTTAACGTGGTCTATGTACAGCAATTATTCAAACTAAGGCTGAATTAAAATCTATTGAACAACACTTGTTAAGCATCAAATTGTTACCTGGGAAGCTTTGCCGATCAGTGTCAATAGTCTTCATCGATCAGCTGAAAAACATTTGAATAAGTCTCAATCATCAAGCAAAGTCTGAAAGAATATCTTAAAGTCTTTATTTTAATTTTGATCAATTGAAGATCTTCAGAAAAGTACTAGCTCAACATGAATAATTGAAAAATTTCCCTATGGACTTTACTGAACTCTTCGACCAGATTATTTTTGTTTTTCATTAATTCCTAATCAGCCTTTCATATTGGAAGAATATCTGAGAGACTACATTGGAAATTTTAAATACATGGAAATCTGCACAATGAAACGTGATCTTTCTGGACCTTGCTACATTAAAGAGATTTTTGGCCAACTGAAGGCCGTTGGAATAACTCCTGATCAATACGCTATCTTGACATAATATCTGAGATACATGATTTGAATAACTGGATGGATCTGAATTCTGTAATTATCTAAAGGACTTTATGGAAATGGTTGATCATTTAAAGGTCTCTGAAATAATTTCTGATCAATCTGCGATCTTTAGACAATATTTTGAATCATGCATAACATCTAGAAGACTTTGTAATGGTTTTTGTTCAAAAATAGGTCTGTGCAAACAAAATCCTGATCAACCTGGTTTCTGAAAGTAATATATTATGAAAATGATTTGATAAACTGGACAGTTGGAAACCCTCAGAACAATTCCTGATCAACTTGATGCGGTGACAAAATATCCAAAGGACTTTTTTTAGGTCTTTAATCAGTTGATTGTTTTAGAAATAATTCCTGAATAACCTGCTATCTTGCGATGCTATCTAAGAGACATGATTTGATATGTTGTATAATTCAAGATCTTCAGAATAAAACATGATAAACCAAAAGCCGTCGCAAAATATCTAAAGGTCTTTGATTAACTAGAAGTATTTGAAAAGATTGCTGATGAACCTGCAATCGTGAGAAATTGTGTTGGAAACATGATTTGAATTACTGACCAGTTATAGATCGTCAGAATAATACCTGGTCATTAGTTGTTTTGACCAAATATCCAAACTACTATATGATACGCTGGCCTTTGAAAAATTAAAAGTTTTTGGATAATTTCTGACTATTATGCTATATTGCAAAAATATCTCAGAGACATTATTTAATCTATTGAACAATTGGGGATCTTCAGAATAATTCCTTGTCAACCTGAAGTATTGAAAAAACGATCTAGAAAACAATATGGA